TTCTTAAAAATAATTCACCAAACATTCTGCACAATCAGATGCACGCTAGATAACTAATCTTCATGGATTAGCATTTGTAGCAATGAATGATTTCTTATCCTGAGCATATGACGGCTCTCTTTCTTCAGCATCATCAACTCAAAATCATTCTAATTTCGAAGTAATTTCGAATTCCTCCGATTCCATCATGCAATTGATTTTATTAATTCGTAGGAAGAAAACAATCTTTTTTTTTTCATTATGAAATGAAACCAGATTTTTCGCACACGGAAGCGGCGTGACATGTTACATTGCACATTGTGCAGAATCAAGTCAACTTTGTACGGAATTTCCGAGGAAATGTGGGAGAACAATCACTGATTACGAGAAGTCATTCTCGACTCGTATCATCCTGTCCACTTGTCCACAAAAAACCATTGTATCATGCTCACTGAGAACAATTAGATCATGCGGAAAATGAGTAAAACTCATATGATTCAGATCAAGCTTTTTGATGAACGTCATACTCTCCCCCACAATCCGTGAGGGTGGATGTGATGTTCACCTGCTATTTATTAGCAGTAAGTAACTCATAGCCGATGATGAACAGATTACAGATGTAAATATGAAGGTCTTTCAAATACTCAACCATGCAAATTGAGTCTCTGATATGCAGCACATTGAATTGAAAAATTCATTTGGATATATTGTTCGTATTGGCATCGTACCAATTGAATAACATTTACGTTCCTTCTTAATTGGAACTTCATCGCTATGATAACGACGACTGAATTACTGAACTAATTCTCAGGTTGTATGTTCAGAACATACATATGCATGAGTAGGACATTTCATGCTTGCTCGAAACATATTCCATGCCACGAATCTGTTTTTCGTGAAGGTCAATGCTCCTGAAGCTGTCAATCATGCATTGGAGGATGAATATCAAGCCAAATTTTATACATAAGACGTTAAATAAGACATGCGAGTTGTTTCACCAGAGATTTGAGCAGTTGACAAGACATGCGAGTTGTTCCACCAGAGATTCGAGCAGTTGACAAGACATGTGATCACCCAATGAAGTTTTCTTGCGATTCATTTTTGTAAATCCAATGCAAACCACGATCTCGAGTTATTCTTCAATTAGCCTTCCGATTTATTCCAAATTAGAATGAACAAGTGCTCTTCTCATGCAAATCACTACATGCTATGCAGCAGTAGTCTCAACAGGTCTTGGCGAATCATCTGTAATGTAACGGAAAAGTTGGCATAAAAGCAATCTCAAACTTCTACTCATATCAAATGACATGTCGACAGTTGAGAATAAAGTTCAGAATGAGATAATTACCATCCTTGTTTTTTTTTTATTATCCATTCGTATTGCATTTATCATTTTATCACACATCACTGGCTGATGTTGCACGAAAATAACAACTCACGTGGATAGAAAATGGCGGAATAGATTGGTTATGGGCTACTGTAGCTCCTTCGGTATGGTAGTGTCCTGCATTGTCGATTTTGCACTTGCCAACTGAATAATAATCTGAACACAGGTGCAAGAAGAATAATACGAAAATTTTATTAGAGGTGATCATTAAATGTTATTCAATACAATTATATGCTATGTGATATCGATTCAGTAGTAAAATAAAGAAATTATAATAAATACTCTAACTTCCGTCGTTTAATTTTCATCATGAAGGGAGAAGAAGAATACAGTGGAAGAAACTTTCAGAACTATCTAAAAATTCCTGCACGAAATATCTGTACAGAAGGAATTGTCTGAAAAGACACTTATGAATCTTTACATTTTATAGAAAAAATATAATAGTGCAGAAAAAGAGTTAGTGAAATCGAACTTTTCGTTATCGAACTATTCCTCTTCATTCTCATGATGAAAGAGAAGAAGATTCATTTCACAATGCTCTTCGTAATACTCAATATTACACACAAAACTTATTTATTACGTGATAATTTTGGTATGATATTTTTTGGACTTCAATTCCTCAATTTTTTTCTTAGTTCCTTAGTTTTTTCTTAGTTACTTGATGACTCCATTCAAATGAAAAAGAAAATCCATGCATTCACTTGCACATGTGTACATCGGAATCTACCCCCTGTCATTTTATATGAGAATATATTGTTCATATGCCAACAGAATTTTTTTTTACAAACTATTCGGCACGAACTAGAAATACCAGTTTTTCAAGATGTGTAAAAGTCAATAGGTGTAGGTGTCTGAAAGTGCCGACTCCCTTGAAGGAAGATGTTTGTGTATTTTATCAAGAAGTCACAGACGATATTGAACATATCTAATGATCCTCAGCTGACTAAGGAGAATCAACGTAACTAAGAAATCCTTATTATGCTATTAAATAACGAAAAAAAGCTAAAAAAAAATAAAGAATGAGGATGTCCGATGATCCTAAGCTGACTGAGGAGAAGCAACGTAACTAAAAAATCCTTATTATATAATAAAAACATGAAAAAAAAGTCAAAATATGAAAAAAAAAAAAAGGGATGTGCTCCTGAAAGTGTAGCACCAAAAGATATTTCAATTATTTGAAATATCTGAAGAAATAACCTCGAACTTGAATAACCAGGTTGATCCCTCAAAAACGAAAGAATGAATATGATCTCTTTATGGATTGCGACGATAATATGGGTACGGTGGTGGTGGGTATGCCTGTGGTGGATATGCCTGTGGTGGGTAATGCAGTGTTGAGTTTTGTGGATAGAAGAATTGCTGTCCATATTGCGGTTGCCAATAATTTAGAGGGCTTGGAGGGATTGGCATCGACGTCGGAGGCTGCTGCTGAGGGTATTGCCACGTTGGCAACATCTGTGGTGCACACATGTGTGGTAATTGCATCTGAGGATATGGTGCCATCATCGGGAATGATGCTGGTAATGGTGGTGGTGTTGGAGGCATCGTAGGCTGCGTTCCACTCGAGGCGATCTGCTGTAATGCAAATATGAATTTTGAACGGGTGAAGAGACAATAAGAAAACTTGGGCTGTGCATCTAGCTTAGAAAGCGTCAGAGACATTTCATCATGTGCATGCAGGAGAAAAGGAAATTAGCTCATCGCATGTGGAGAATAATATTAGTTGCTAAACTCCTGACGTACATTTTGAGAGCCCCGGCGAGGACTTCAGGGGATGACATGGTCAGGGGAATGGCGCAGAGGCAAACTTGATTAGTAATTTCTCAACTATAGAATTCAATGAGGTATAGCACTCCAATGAATCGAACACAGAATTGACTCTGGGTTTGATTCATCAGGGCAGAAGGGGAAGGAGATGAGTTGGACGAAAATTGGACAATAATAGAGTAATTGCGTGGTATCGATCTTGACATTTGTGCGTTCGCATAGCATTAAAAGCTGATGCAATGTTGAAAAATATAAAGAAAAAAAAACAAAAAGAATTCGGAACGCTAAAAGGTCTGAATACATTTGTGCACCCAGAGTGTTATTTGGCAATATTATGCCCCAGCTGGCTGATTAACAACAGCTGGTGATTCCAATCAAATCAAATCATCCATTCCTCTCTCATCTTGAGCATTTAGAGGAGGGAATTGATGACGGAGTTCAGAGCGTCAAAAAGAAAATAAAGGTAAGTTGTAGAAGTGTATTGATGAAACAGGTTTTGGTATTCACCAATTATCTTCCAAACTATCTTCTCCTGAACTCCACGTACTCAATGGAACAAAACACGAATTTTGAGTATAGTTAAAATCGAAAAAAATTGGTAGAGGTAGTAGAAAATGAAGGAAAAGAGCATTTGTGATAAAGGAACAGAAATCGGTACTGATAGAGCTAGCTGACTATTGAAGAGAGACAGTCCTAAGAATGTTACAGTGATTTTACTGACTTATAGATGAAAAATGGATATGCAGGTGTGGGCAAACGATCGAATCCGAAATCTATTCTTACCTGTTGTAATTCCTTGATTACTTTCTGCATTTTCTTATTTTCAATTTCCGCTTTCTTTAGTCGTCTGTTTGTACGTTTTGAAGTTGCAACTACTGGCAAGTCTGCGCACTACGGATTACACTGGAAGGCTCACTTGCTTTTGCAACCGCTAGTAGTGCATCAGCATGTGCTGTAGTTCCTCGATTGGCAGACGATGATTCTCGATAGGCTGGACACTGCAGTGGAGCTGGAGGGAGCTCAGAGTCAGGTATTCCAGGCATGTACATAACTGCAGGGAATGATTTTTGAACAGCTGGGAGGTCATCAGCATGTGTTACAGCTGCTTGATCAGCAAACAATGGCATCTGATAAGCCGAAATCTGTATAGGAGTAGGAGGGAGCTCAGAGCCATGCATTCGCGGCGTGTACATAGCTGGAGCCATTCCTGTTGTAGAAAAAGTCACTGATGGTGATGTGTCGGTGTGTAGATTCTGCGATGTAACAGCAGAGACGCCAACTCCAGGCATTCCAGTTCTGTTGAGAGCTCTAGACATTTCAGCAGAAACAGTTAGCACAGCTGTCGATGTCTGGGGATTCAAAATATGCTGTGAAGCAGCAGGAGAGCCGAAACCAGGTATTCCACAGGTGTACATGGCTGAAGGCAACAGTGTAGTAGCTGGTGTTACTGGTAAAGACATTTGAGTGTGTAAATTCTGCGAGGTAAATGCTACAATACCGGTTCCAGGTATCCCACTGTTGCTTTGAGCTCCAGATACTCTTACGGAAGTAGCAGTTACTGGGGTGAAGGTCTGGGGAACGAAGGCAAGCATTCCAGTCACGTCTGAAGTAGCAGGTGTTCCAGCAGTAGCTGTACTCAATGATGATGATGTCTGAGTAACTGGAGTCTGCGATGTAGCCGCAGGAATTCTACTGTCAGGCATTCCACTGCTATTCACAACTCGAGGTATTCCAGCAGCAGCAGCTGCCATAACCATCGACGTTTGGGGAAGTGGAATATGCTGGAAGCAACAGAGGAGTCGAAGCCAGCTATTCCACTCATGTCAGAAGTGATAGGTGTTCCAGCAGCATCTGTGCTCACTGATGGTCATGACTGAGTCACTCGAATCTGCGGTGTAGTGGCAGAGATCTTACTGTTAGGCATTCCACTACTATTCAAAGCTCTAAGTATCTCAGCAGTAGTAGCAGCAATAACATTCGACGTCTGGGCAATTGGAATGTGCTGTGAAGCAGCAGAGGAGCCGAGGCCAGCTATTCCACTCAAGTCAGAGGTAACAGGTGTTCCAACAGTAGCTGTACTCGATGATGGTGATGTCTGGGTTACCACATTCTGCGATCTAGCAGCAGAAATTCTACTGTCAGGTATTCCACTGCTGTTTAGACCTTCAAGTGTTCCAGCAGCAGCAGTAGTCATAACTGTCGACGTCAGGGGGATTGGAATATACTGTGAAGCAGCAGAGGAGCCAAAGCCAGCTATTCCACGAGTGTACATGGGTGGAGTTAATACTCCGCTGGTTGAAATCACTGGTAATGACGTCTGAGGACGAGAATTCTGCGATGTCAACGTCGAGATACCAGTTCCAGGTATCCCACTGCCGTTTTGAATTCCAGATATTCCAACAGAAGCAGTGGTCACTACTGGCAAGCTCTGGGGAACTGTATTATGGAGTAAAGTAGAATTGAAGTTGGAGGCAAGCATTCCATGGAAGTTCGAAGCAAAGGGTGTTTCGGTGGTAGCTGTGGTCAATGTTGCTGATATCTGATTGCCCAAACTTCCACTGCTGTCATGAGTGCTAGATACTTCAGTAGCAGTTGCCCTAATCGTCAACGTTCGAGGAATCAAAATCTTCTGTGAAGTAGCAGGGGAGCCAAAGCCAGCTAAAGTTACTGGAATTGAAGTGTGGAGATCTGTATACTTATGTACAGCAGCAGGAGGCATCGTGCCAGGTGTTGCATTTATGTTGGAAGCTCCAAGTACCCCGGCATTGGCTGTGGACTGGGACTCTTGTACTCCTGGAATTCTCGACAACACTCCATCCCTCTTACTCTGTCTTACAGGCTTCGGCTTTTTTGGTGGATCTGCTAGAATCTTGGCTGATTTAGGTATTTTTCGTTGAGAAGTAGCTCCGCGTTTACCCCCGTTCAATGGTCGAGGTCTTGCATCAACAAGTGAACCAGTAGCTCTTCCATGACGATTACGCGGTTCTACCTTCTGGAAATCTCCATCTCCGGCTAACTGCTGAATTCCTACTGATTGACCTCTAGTACTTGGTGAATTACGTCCAGCAGCAATACCAGCATAAGTTTTCATGAGATCTGAAATATTGAAAATACCGGACATGACAATACAGGATATAATATCAGATTTGATTGCAAGGATATTTGAGTATTCAATGTCATGAGTTGAGAGTTCATTCAATCACTAAGCTCGTTGCTTATAAATATGAATAAACATCCCACAAATTTCTCCAAAATATAAGTATTTTATAAAGTTCATCAATTATGTAATCACCTTGATCTATTGTGTCTTGGAGACTCCGCTCAAGCGATCTTATGCTTTTCTCTGAAGAAGACACGTTGTTGCTCGACTCCCTGCTGAAAAATCGATGCAAAATCTATCTCAAGAAAAGGTTATTGGATATCAAGGAGAAGTTATTGGCAGTGGAACACCCAGTGGTCCGAAAATTAACAGGAAGCAATTCGTGAATATCAAAAGGTATTATGCAAGTCTGGAAGTGAGTTTAGGTTAACGAAAGGTATATAATTCATCGAAGTGATGGCAAAATAATGAGTAATCATTGATCATCTCCGATATTACCCAACATTGGTGATGAAATTTCAGAATACGAGCGAGATAACCCTCATTCAGATGGATTCGAAAAAGAGGATTTTTTGTATAGAGTTCAAGGGTTATGTGACATCTTGAAACGTTGCATGAAATTCCACTGAACTAATTCATATTTGACAATTCACTGGAAGAGGATAACGTCCGTATATACCACTAAAGCTGAACAGGTTTGACGACGCGATGTTTGAACACTGGATGGAGCGTTACTCAATATCAATAGAATCGAAATGTTCGTCAAAATGGCGGTGTAGGAAATTCGCTAACCTCATTCATTGATGTTGGTTATACAATGATCTGCAGGAATTTCAAATGATGATGAATTGTATGTAATGATAACGTCGTAAAACTATGTCAATTACCAAAAAAAAAAAAAATGGGCCTTCGCGTTGATCAACGGACAACAACATCAATAAGAAAACAATGAACTGAGCTGACTGGTTATTAGAATTTCAGCGAAGTACAGAAGAGCAAATTACACCTCAGATCTTAATTGTAATTTCATACTTACAATTTTGCTGTCGATCGTGTCTCTGGCCTACTGATGATGAACGTAATTTATTCACAAAACAGTCGATTATGAAACTTTGATGGTCAAGTGCCGCACGGAAGAGAAACACCGGGTGGGCGACGCGCCGTCAAACAGTTACGGCGTCACTGTACAATCTGCTTCACTATGCGTGCATTTCGGAATCAACTACGCCCAGTGGCAGTACTGTAACTGCGGATTTCACTACAGAGTGTTTCGTAATTCCGCAGCGCGGTAACGGGGGGATTTTTAAATTTGTGAAAGAAATATTTTTGATAAATTTTTTTTTTGGCAGAAGGGCGGTGGGGGAGGGGGCGAAGGGGTTAAGGCCAAATAATAATATTAATTATTTTTGATAAATTTTCTTTTTTTAGCACAAGGGAGGTGGGGGAGGTGGCGAAGGGGTTGGTGCCAAATAATAATATTAATTATTCTTGATAAATTTTCTTTTTTTAGCACAAGGGTGGTGGGGGAGGGGGCGAAGAGGTAAGAGCCAAATAATAATATTAATTATCCTTTTTTTCCCATTTTTGGAGCAGTGGGGAAGGGGGCTAAGGAATTGGAGCCAAATAATAATTTCACGAGGGTCAAACGTCACGAGACTTACGAGGGCCAAGAGTAAAAAATGAAATTTCAGGACTACGAGGATTTCACGAGGACTACGAGGGGAAAAGTAAATTTCAAGAGGCTCACGAGGGCCACGAGGGGAAAATTGAATTTCAAACTTCTCGTGACATTTGAGTCTAGTAAAACTTCATTTTTCCCTCTTAGTTCTCGTGAGTCTCGCGACGTTTGATGCTCGTGAAATTATTATTTGATTCTAATCCTCTCGCCCCCTTCCCCACTACTCCAAAAATGAGGAAAAAACAATAATTAATATTATTATTTGCTAGTAACCCCTTCACCCGCTCCCCCTCCCCGCTCTGCATAAAAAAAAATAATCGAAAATAATTAATATTATTATTTGGTTCTAACCCCTTCACCCCTTCCGCCCCTCTTCACAAAAAAATGCATATTATTATTTGGCTCCAACCCCTTCGCCCCCTCCACCACCTCCCTTATGCTAAAACAAAAAATGGCGCGACTGCGCGAAGTTAGCTACAAGTAACTACAAGAATTACCAAACAGAAATATTGATAGTGGGAGTATTCCCACTGCGCGTAGTTGATTCCGAAATTCACCCTATATTTTGGCACTTATCTGCGCGTATAAACAAACTTAATATGAAAACTGGGCCTTTTCTCTGGGGAATTCTAATGAATTCCTATTGGAAATCTATGGGAATTCCATTGGAAAATTCTATTTTTTTATTGCTGAAATGTTCGAGAAATTATAGAACTTTTTCGGGCGTTCCATACAGAAATTCAAAGCCAATTTCCGTCTGAAAATTCTTAAAAACATTTCATAGAAAAATTCATTGAAAAATGTATATAGATTTCTATGGATGTTGAATTTTCTATTTGATTCGTTCTATTGGGATATTATCAAAAAGAATTCCTGAGCATCAAAATCTCAATTATTTTTTCTAGGAGTTTGTTATGGAGAACAAATTAAATTCCATCAGAAAGAAATCAGAAAATTCATCTCTAAGAATTATTATAGAATTAGCAATAGGATACATCATTTACATCATTTAGGAAGATCAATATCTACAGACACTTTTCTATGAATATCCATAATATGAATATGAATACCCATAAATGCCCGAAAACTTAACACCGATGACTTGAATATCGCTCTGTTGTCGGTAAAACAGCGTGCATTTTCGTTTCAGTGCATGTAGACAATGACGAGACTTCGGATGGATTTTTTTAAGTAACACAATTGAGTGATTTGGCAAGTGATATGATCAATTTGATATTTCCGTTGAGACTGTTATATTAAAAAATTCAGACTATTAAACTATGGGTGCTCAGCGGAATAAGAGGAAAAAACATTCAAGAAAATGGCTTTATGTTGCAAAGTAAGTACATGATACTTAACCTCTTCATGAATGGCTGTAGAATAATTTTTCTTTTCATGCCAAACCGACGACTTTGATTATACAGAAATAGTAAACAGTAAACAAAATCTGAATTTATGATTAAAAAAATATTTAACTAGAATTTGTTGTCATCTTGATATTGGATGTGATAGTCAATCAGTTCATCATTTTCAATTCAGTTTCACTGTTGGAAATCCTGTCAGCTGACAGGGCACTCACACATACACATGCGCGGCTCATCCATTCTCTCCCCACTCACGCACTCCTGACGCGCTCACCTCAGATGACCGGGGGTTATTAATTCGGACACCTGAGGCGCCACGTCCTGGACAGCTCCTTATTACCATATGATCTGTATTAAATTAGGTCATGTGACCATCGAATTAGGGCACGTGGCACCTGTAAGCCCGTGTCTCTCTCTCATTCGTTTCCGGGAATCAGTTAATAGCACTTCTCTTTGTACCGCTCAATTTCTCGCAAATCGGATAATCTTTATTGTGTCAGCTCAATCTCTTCTCAACTTTTCGGTCCGCTTATTGTTTACGGTTTAGTTAGTGACTCAATATTCAGTGACTTTATTTATTGTGAACATTTAAATTGACAAAATACAGTGATTTGTGACACCACGTGCACGTGTCCGCACATTTTTTTGACCCGCTCATTCACTTCCGGAAATCCATTTCCCACCTGCCCATCCGCTCCTAATTACCACCGATCCAGGCATCTCATCAGACAGTTTGGTCCTTCGAGCTGGATCGGTGGAATATTTTTCGGTTTTCGGTTTTTTTTTGTTGGGTTTTGGCGGAAGTGGAACTGACGCGGTCAGTGGTGCTCAACCTACGGGGACCAGCTCGTTGGCTCAGCGCACGCAGTGGACCTCAACCAGTCCAGCTCTCCAATCATCAGGGAACTGCATTACCGGCCCGCGGGAATATTTGAATTTTGGAGCAGCTCATCCCCGGGACTTTGGACTTTTTTCTCAACTGCAGCGTTCCTGCACTGATCCAGCTCAACATCACTCACTCGGCTAAGTAGCATTTAATTACCTCTTGCTACTTTTGCCATTTTTTTCTTTTTTTGAATTTTTTGGAGCATTCAACTTTGTTTTTTTGGCTACCGCTCCCTTTATATTCTCCAACCCTTTTTCGTTTTTTTTGAATTTTTCAATAAATTCTCGCGCCTGCTCAACGGAATCGCTCACTGCTGCTACCTACTAAATTAAGACTCTTCGGTGTTATTACTGTTGCCGCTCAACCGACCGGATACTTAATTTTATCGCTTCTCACTGCTCACTGCTCGGCTTTTGGGGTCGCCTTACTTAGGTTTTTTCCGGTTCATTCCTTTTTTGAGCTGCGCACTTATTTTCAATTATGGCATCATTTGAGGCAACCATTAGCCTGAATAACTCTCGGGCAGCGGTCATCGAACGCGTTTACAAGAAGCTGCTCACAGAAGAGGCGAAAAGCCTCACAATCTCCAATCTCCAGGGTAAACTCGAGATCCTGGAGATCTACTGGGAAAAATTCGAGAGCACTCATCAGAAGCTCATCGCTGGCAGCGGCAAGATCGAAGGGATCCTTGAATTGCCGTACTTCAAGGACCATCGGTTCGACATTACTATCGGGCATTATCATGAGGCAAGGGGTATTTTAAGCCAGCTCATTGATAAAAGGGGGATCTCAGGTTCATCTCGTCGGTCTCTCGCGTCTGGGACGGCTCAGCCCACATACTCCAAGCGTTATCTCCCTGAGATTTCTCTGCCCAAGTTCGGAGGGGCCTATGCGGACTGGCGCTCGTTCCGCGATCTTTTCGCGTCTCTGGTCGGCTCGAATACGGATCTATCCAACGTGGAGAAGATGCATTATCTTCGTACTAGTCTCTCAGGGGAGCCAGCTCAACGCATCGCGAATCTTACGATCTCGGATGAGTCATTCTCGATTGCATGGGAACTGCTCTTGTCTCGCTACGAGAATAAGCGACTGCTCATTTCAGCTCATTTGGAACAACTCCTCAGTCCCCCAACCATGACTTCTCACAGTGCCAAAGAGCTCAATGCCCTGCTCACTGTCACCTCTGAGGCACTTAACGCTCTGGAGGCTCTCGGCTCCCCAACCTCCCAGTGGGACCAGGTGATCGTACATACGGTCTCGCAACGGCTCAGCTCAAAGCTTCGTGAAGCCTGGGAGGTCAAGGTCGGTTCATCGGCGGAGTATCCTTCATACAAAGACTTCAAGGATTTCCTCACTGGGAGAGCTCGCGCGATGGAGAGCATCGAGATTAACTCGGTTCCTCGTGCTCCTGCCACAAAGCCCTCCAATGTCAGCTCATCCAAGCAGTCGACCGCTGCGAAGGTTCACCACGGCACCGCTCAACCACCACAAAAATCGAGGCCAGCTCCCAAGTCCGCTCCATCGGGGAAGGTCACGTACCCGTGCTCGATGTGTGAGGCAGACCATTACCTCACATCCTGCTCATCCTTCCGTCAACTTTCGGTATCAGCTCGTAGGGAGGTAGTAGAGCGTCGCTACCTCTGCTACAATTGCCTTGGTCGGCACTCGGTGAGGGACTGCAGGTCCAAGACCAAGTGCCAGTATTGCGGGGGCCTCCACCACTCGATGCTCCACAACCAGCCATCGAGTCAGCCTCAACGTCCAGCTCAGCAGAGGCAACAGACCAACTCAACCCAGCAAAAGGCCGTTCCGGTGGTGACCTACACCCACGAAAACGACATCCCCATGGTGGTGACTGGTGACCAAGGCCAGTCAACGTCGTCGGAATGAAGATCACCAGCTCAGATTGCCGTCTCCTGCTCAGGTCACCACTCAGATTCCGGATCCGCTCAAGACTTCCGCCCTGGGGTCCTTCTGGCTACCAGCCTTGCGCTTTTGGTACGCCCAGATCAGCCAGCTCATCAGGTTCGTCTACTCATCGATCCAGGGTCGGAAATCTCCGTCATCTCAGACCAGCTCGTTCGTCAGCTTGGGCTGTTAAGGCTCAAGACACAGCTACGAATATCGGGGATTGGAGACACGGCATCTGGGCCGGCATTAGGCAAGGTTCGGCTCACAATACAGTCCACTTGCTCTCACTTTCAGCTCAGAGTTTCTGCCTATGCTCTCGGCCAGCTCACGACCTCATTACCGACATTCTCACCAAGTCAGCTCACATGGGATCATCTGGAAGGACTCCAGCTCGNCTAGCGCCAGTGGTCATACGAGCGAAGATATTGCTCCAGGCTCTATGGATCGAGAAACTAGGATGGGACGAACCAGTTTCCCAGACAACTGCTCAACGATGGAGCCAATTCAGGGAGGAGCTCACACAGTTATCGGAGATAACCATACCTCGGTGGCTTGGACTGCTCACGGATTCCGTCGTCGAAGTACACGGTTTTTCCAACGCATCACAAGTGGCGATGTCCGCCGTGATCTATCTCAAGGTTCTCAACAAGGGAAAATCACAACTCACATTGGTTTGCTCAAAAACGAAGGTCGCACCGCTCANTCGCTCAAATCTCCAGTTTCCTCGCTAGGAGATTCACGTTCGTCTACACTCGCTTGCCTCCATCGTCTGCTCAGGAAACTCTCACGTGATGAGGTTTATCGTCAGCTCTACACGGACTTCCTCAGGGAATATGAAGAGCTCGGCCACATGCGTCGAGTCTCCGGACAGCTCGCTAGATCAGCTCATCAGCGCCAGCTCAATGGGGGG